TGATGTTTCCTACTCCCTTACTTCCCATCTTATTATTCAAATTCTTATCAAAATTACTAGCCAACTTTATAATCATATATGGAAAAGATATTGTATAAACTTCTCTACTTGGAAAAAGGGCTGAAAGGAGAAAGCAGGATGAAAAGAGATTGTATGTATTAAGTAATTAGTTTCTTGACAGAGAAGATTATTGGTAATAGTCTTAGTAATAGAGAAATTAATAACTTGGATTAAAAAGTTGGGGCTAGAACATGTATACTAGTAAAATAATGAGTTAGAAAGATTACATTGAAAGCAAAGATGAGGTGAATTAGAGCTAAGTGATATAGAGTTAATATAGAATTGTATAGGTAGCATATTTAGTAACATTTTGATTTTAAAAGATTTAAAGTAATTAAGTTTAAAATTGGTAAAGTTATATGATCTTTGATAATTATTATTAAAGAATAGCCAAGTAGAGTTCTAATCAATAAGGTTAGAGAAGTGTGACCACTCTTGACAGCATCTTTGCAAGAACCACATTGCAATAATGAAATTTCTTTCAACCAAGAAACAATTTGACTAGGTTAAATACAATATATATTGATATTGCAATGTTTATTCAGTTCTAAACTAATTTATTTATCATATCGCTATATTAAACTAGTGAATCAATATTTTGTGAAAGTTACTATGCCCGAATCAAAAATATTTAGAACCGAAGCATTTTTATTCGCAGAGAAAGTTAAATTAATTTTAAAAATCAGCAAAAGTGGATATAATTTTTGCATGAAAGGTGCTAAGATAATAAATACGATACTGATTAAAAAGTAATGCGTTTAAATGTCAAAAGACAATTACATTTATACGGTTGACCCTCTCAAATCGGTATGCATGGTGGACAAGTTTTGCATCAGTTTTGAGAGGTTATCGGATCTGAAAACATAACAAACTATTAGGGTTATATAACGAGAACGAACTTGGTAGATTAACTTTTTATCAGATTTGGCAGGTTATCGGTTTTTACAGGATCGGTTTTGAGAGGGTCGACTGTATAATTTTATATGCTATCTTATTATGATTGTAATCAGTGTTGGGCAAATTAGTGGTCGACCAAAAATTTACTGGTCAAATTGGTCTGGTCAAATTGGTCAAATGGTCGAACTGGTCAGATTAGTCAAATCTATTATAAATATAATATATATATATATTATATAATAAAATTATACTATTTGACCAATTTGACCAGCACAGATCCTTTGACCAGACTGGTCAAATTGGTCAAATTGGTCCGGTCCAATGGTCAAACCGGTCTGGTCAAGCCAACACTGGATTGTAATATTTTTCAAATTTGGGTCCTTATATGTAATTATTTTCACTTGGGCCCTTATTTGTAATTATTTTCATTTTTTCGGGCCCTTATATGTAAATTCCCCTAAAATTAAATATATATTTTTAATTAAATTTTTTTTAAAAAAACTGTTTTTTGATAATTTTAAAAAATATTACCAGTAAGCTTAGTTTCTCAATTTTAAAAAACAATTTAATAGTTTAATTATTGTTTTTTGGTATTAATTAGTAATTGGCAAATTTTTAAACTTGTATCGAAAGTAAAAAAATTTCGAAAAATTTTTAAAGCATAAATTTTTTATTAAAATTTAAAATTTTTGTTTAATTAAAATTAAATGCTTATAAAAGTTTGTCTGTTCAACAGAAAAAAATCAATATTATTCAAAGATATATTCATTATATAAATTTCTTCGTTTACCACTCAAAAAATTATCATAAGCAGTTTGTATAACGCCAATCCAAGATTTTCGATGAATCTTAACATCCCATTGATTATGCCAATGGTAAGTAAAAATACCACGAAAGAAGTTTTCTATCTTTCGAATATCCAAAGGTGATCCATCAAATTTTGAATGATCAATTCCAGGAATTTCGTCAGGGATTATATTAGGATCGAATGCATCAGTAAGTTTACGAAGGTTTGGAGATAATACGGATGACGATTGTTTAGAATCCTGTTTTAACCATAAAGGATCAAATAATCCAGGTGGAAGCATATAAATCAATTTATTTGTTTCTTGAAGAATAAAATTTTCATGTGTAGACAAGTATTTACTAATGTTAAAAGGATGAAAGCTCATATTATTTTTTATAGCACCACGAATCACCATTTCAGAAGATGAACTCTCTTTCCAAAGACGTAGAACTGCAGTATTATATTCGTTTAAATAACTCCAACGATAAGAGAATTCAAAGTTTGCATAGTATAAAGGACGCATGTCACGAACAAGGAGAACGTCAGCGTCGATATATATACCACCATAATTATGAAGAACCACAAAACGGACCAGGTCACTGAGTTTGACTGATCTAGTTGAATAATAATGTTTCTGCCACCCAGCATATACATCACTAGATGAAAATTGTTCCGAAGCGTTCCAAATTTTAAATTCAATGTTCGTTGGGGAATATTTAAGTAAAGGACGAATTTGTTCGTTGTCATTGAAATTGGTATCATTTATATCATCAAGCCAGACATAGAGCGTCGAACATTCAAGTGGTTGACTATAAAGAAAAGATTTCATCATCAAAACGAGTTTATCAGTAATTTGACCCTTCCAGAAGACATGGAAGAGCATTGGTGAATGATCACGATCACAGGGAGGAGGAGGTGAGACACCAGCAGTGGTGGGAAATGAAATCATATAATCGTCTTCGTTTTCATCAAGATACTTTAGACAGTTTTCAATCATAATGTTTTTTATATCACCACAGTTCTTCTCTATACGAACAACGCTAACGACATACCCTTGTTTTGGACGCTTACGACCGTTTAACAAGAGTGGGGGCGTGGCTATCGATTCATTATCAGAAATCTTGTCATCGGTATTTTCAACGTTAATATTCAAATAAATATAAGTGAAATAAAATAAACAGATTATAAGGATTATTATGAATACGAGTTTTTTAGTAACTTTAACCGATAATATTGACATTTCATAAGAAAGCTTAAAAGTTAAAAGTTCGTTTGATTTTCGTACTATGTGAATATCCAAAGCTGCAGAAGTTGCAACTTTTGGGGACCGGTAATTACATACAGTATATATATAGTAAATAATGGAATATATTGTGACCACGTACTGACGTAGAGATGGGCATCATGCACCTACGTATCACTTTGATTCACTGATCCATCCATAAACATTTGTTTATTAGATATCCTAAATTTAATAGATAATTTGTAAAAATAGATTAATGAATGGATGACCGAGTAATTTGATAGATTTCGGATTTACTTGACAATTATGATGAGCAATATAAATTGGAGAAATTTTATTTTTATTCGGGTGAAATAGAATTTCTTTAATTTATATTGTTGATTACCTTAGTAGATATCCGGTTTAATGAAATGAATCTCCGGATATAACATGTCGGATAAATGGATGGCGGATTGGAGCTTTAAGGAACCCTCACATATTATCTCTTCGTCTGTAGACTATGTGCAGGCAAATTTGCCTGCAAAAAGTTATATAATATTTTCTAAAAATAAATTTTTAAAAATTTACCAAAATTTTTATAAAATATATTCTTTTAGACTTGATTTTTATTTTTAAAATATAAATTCTAAAAATTAATTATACTTTAAATAAAGTATACTACTTTAAAATTCATTAATTTATACAAAATATAACGAAATAGACCTATTTTTTAAATTATTTATTTATTATTATGCCAACTGAAGAAATACAAGGTCCAAGCAGTGCACATCTTAAACAATTGTAATGGAAACCAAAGTAGAAGGGCACACATCTATTTCAAAACAGAAGATGATCTTGTACAAGCTCAAAAACACAACCTGTTCTACTTTAACACCAAACTAGAATAGCAAACTACGCTTAGAGATATTAGTACAAACAAAATTTTAAACAACCCATTACATGCAAAAGCCTTACTACAGACAGCAACAAGAGAAAACAGCCTATCTATGAATTAGAACTTACAACAAGACAGCTCAGACAAAAAACTGGAGAATACGAATGCCACTACCAAAACAAACAGGTTCTTTAATAACAATGAAAAGATGGAAAGGAATGAAAATAGACAAAAAGAGAACCCAAAAACTGATATACAAAGAAACAAGAAACCTTTAGCTAAAGATACAAGAAACAGTATGCAAAACAAAAACAAGACATCAAACAAAGAAAACTCTAATCAGATGGCACTACTTCAAAAAATCTTAGAAAGACTTGATATTCTTGAAGAAAAGCAAACTCAGTTTGCTGATCACTTCTAAAAGGCACCTCAGGCATTTTAACAAACAGGAATAAGCACCACACAATATCCTCAAAAGAAAAAAGGGGCTTATTCTAAAAAAGAGGATACAACAAAACCAAACAAAACAAAGAATACAATGTTAACTAATGAAAATAGACAAATTCAAAATACACAAAACAGTACAGAACAAGAAGATATAGCCAACACTCATCAACTACAAGAGGAGTTAAACCAAATAAATCTAAACTTTCTCAAAATAGAGTTTCACAATATAAATGGAATCAAAAACAATATTTCTAAACTTCAAGAGCTAATATATACAGGTCTCCGGAAAAATCTAGACATCATAGGTATATTAGAAACTAATATTAGCAACAGAGAACTACAACTCAACAGAGTCAACTTAAAAGATTATCAAATATACACAACAAAAAAGCAAATTGAAAAGCAAAAAGGATCAGGAGTAGCACTTTTAATTAAAAAAGAGTGGAACAGGCATCTAATAGAACTAACCACTCCAGACACTTACTCACTTAGAGCCAAATTTGCTTTCAAAGGCTTTATACTTATACTGTGGGTAGTCTACGCTCCACCCAATGACAAGGAAGCACACCTAAAAATACAGCAAAGAATTGCATTAGACGCTATTAAAAAAAATATAAAAACCAAAATGATAATAGGAGGCGATCTCAAATTTGGATTTTTTTATTAATTGAAAAAAAAATTGACTGCATTAAAACCTTTAATTAGCTTGTAGATTTATTAGCATATTTATATTTGTGGTCGATAAGGCATTTGAAGCTTCAAATAAGCCGACATTCTGAGTAACTGAGTCAGTAGTACTCCGCAAAATCAAATCAAAATTTGAATTTGTATCAAATATTTGATACAAATTCAAATTTTGATTTGATTTTGCGGAGCATTATTATCTGAGTTTGAAGTTATAGACGTCTTATTACTAACTCGTTCGATAATTTTTTTTTTTTTTTAAAAAAAACCTAATTACTATCCAATTACAATTTTAAAAAGTAAAGATAATTATGCTGTAATTCTATTCCGCTAATATTAAAAAACAATCTATTTATGTCATAGTAATCCACTTAATTACTGTATAATTTTAAAAGCTTAGGACCAATTTTCATTAAATGAAATAAAACACCTAAATTCGAACACTTTCATACTTTATTAAATATAACCTGTGCTAGTTAATTATCTTAAAAGTAAATATTTTGTAAACACATGCGATGACAAGTTAAAAAAACATGGTTTTTATATAAGATCGGTTAGTTGTTTTATTTTTATTTAATGAGCTAAAAAAGTGATTTTACTTTATAATTGAATGGGGCTATTATGATATAAGTAGATTTGTTTTTAAGATTAATGAAATAAATTCAAAATATAATTAGGATCACAACATAACTATCTTCACATTTTAGAATTGTATTTGAATGGACTATTAAATATTAGATTTTAAAAAAATTTATTGGACCGATAAATATTAAATTTTAGCTTTTAGGCTTCATTTTTTTAAAATCCTTATTAGAGCTTTTAAATATTAAAACTTTGCTAGACTTTATATTTATTAGTTTACTAATATCGTACCCTAGTAACTTATTAGAGAATATTTTAATTCATAGACGATTGCAGGTTTTGGGCCGCAAAGCAAATAAATGATATGATTATAACTTCAAATTTAATTGCTCATGAAAATGCCTCATCGACAACCAATAAAATTTAGTTAATTAAAAAGTTTAAAAAATAGTAAACCTTTAAATTTGAATTAGACATCAAAAACGCAACTTTTGCATATATTATATGATCGTCAATTCTACAAGTTGATCGACAATTTTAAGTATAGAATTGTATACAATTCTATGGAACTGTGAAAATTACATCAATTTGCATGTAGAATAGGATTACTGCATTACGTCAATTTACATGCATCGCTAAGATTGAAGGACCAAGTTTCTATGCAAATGATCGTTTTTGATGTTTTTTAATAAAACCATCAAAAAACATAACTTTGTGTCCTTTATCGATCATTATTGCATGATATAATACAAAAATTTTAAAGTTACGTCTTTGATGTTTTATTAAAAATATCAAACCCGACAATTTTGCATGAAAACTGAGTCCTCTACTATGAGTAAAAATAAATAAATAAAAAGATGTTGTTACTTTAAAGTATACACTAATATGAACCTAACAGATATAATTTTATTTACTTGTTCAAGAGTTATTATGATCTAAATTTTATATATGTTTTTACTATTTACTGATTTTATGCTACCACTACGCCACCGCTAATTATAAAAAAATTTGATTAATGATTTTCACTATATGATCTGCGCTAAGTTTATAATTGTCTAGAGTGAAGCCAGACTTATATTTCTACGCCTTTGATGACCAAAATTACGTTTTTGATAATTTATAGTAAAAATATTAAAAACGTAGTTTTGGTATTTTCTGGATGTAACGTCCCTGAAAAATTTGATTTACGATATACGTATGTACATAACAAGACTTTTCAAGGGCTGAAGCGAGCTCCAGACTTATACCGGTTTCCGGATCCTAGTTAGATATGCATTAGACACCCCAGCAAGCCATGCTGACCGTTTGATCGCTAATATTCTGTTACAATTAGAGATGAGCAATGTTGCATAGCGCTTAATTGTCACATTATTAATATTATGAAAATTGTATTGGACGTCAACGGTTGTCTAAGTTATCTCTTAATACGTTAAGCAGGCAAATTTGCTTGCAAAATTCAATTTTAATGTAATTGCCAAAAAATGAGGCGGGAGAGGTCCCCCTAAGAGATACTTCATTTAATTTGGCTAGACTTGAGTAACATATTGGCAAAATGCCGATTGTATAAATTATGTCATGAATGATCTGCACTAACCAGAAAATGTGCTAATCAGGTTTTGCTGCGCCACATATTCATTGATCAAAATCCAAAAATTGGTTAATAAAGTTTAGCGACTTTTATTTTGGATATTAATTGCTCACACTTATTCTCACGCTAAAAAATTGGCTTATTCCATAAGTTATTTTTTTAAAAGAATGACTTCCACAACAGGGATTTTTTTTTTTTAAAAAAAAAAACTTCCAATTTGTTTTTTTTTTTTTTTTTTTACCTGCAAATAATTTGCAATCGTTTAAAGAATGCAACTTTAAATTTTGTGTTAGAGATATTTTTATCACAAACACAACTTCATAATTCAAAATAAATAAAATAACTTTAGCCAAATCGTTTAATATTTAAAATTAGAAGGATAGTATTTTTGGCATTAAAATTAGAGAATAGTATTTCTGGTATTTTTTTTAAATAAAAAATAAAAAAGGTAAACCTATTAACTAATTATTAGTTGTTAGTTTAAATTTTGATTCAAGTTTAAGAAATTTTTGTTAATTAGTTTATGATGATGCAAGAAAATGAAGAATTACCCGCTGAGTTGGTAGACCTTTATGAGGTTTCATTTATTTCACAAACGCTTGAAGAACTTTTAGCTGAAGAGATGCTTGAAGACAATGATTATGATAGCGATGGTGATAATACAGAATTGAGTAATGATACAAGTGTTTTTAATGAAGAACAAATCGAATCAAATATTATAGCATTACTACAAAACAAAGAAAAAACTAGAGGAGGAAAAAAAGGTCATAGAAGTAAAAATAGAGAAAATAATGCAGGTTCAGAAAGAAAAGCTAAAGTAATTACACAATTACCTGTTCCTCCAGATTTTAATAATTTAGAACATAGTGTGCTATTTCATTCAAGTTTTGTTAGATTGCCATTAGCATTACCTGACAATAATATTAATCCGTATGGACTAATTAGATTATTTTTTTCACAATCTATTCTTATTAAAATTTTAACAAACACTAATGAATATGCAAAGTCAAAAAATGCTGGCATAGATGGACAAGTTTGGTTACTTTTAACATTAGAAGAATTGAAAATTTGGTTAGGAATTGTTATATACATGGGTTTAATTAAGTTGCCACAAATAACAGATTATTGGTCAGTTGATCCTAAATATCCTCGGCATGATATTATTCAAACAATGTCAATGATACGTTTTCAACAAATAAAACGGTACTTACATATTTCAGATATTAATTCTGAAAAACTTCATTGGTTTGATAAGGTTGAACCTCTTATGTCACATATTCGAAATATTAGCAAACAAATGTATATACCAGGTTCAAATATAGCAATTGATGAAATGATAGTACAATTTTCAGGGCATAGTAAACATATATTTAGAATGAAAAATAAACCTATATCTGAAGGTTACAAGATTATATCATTATGTGAAAAAGGCTATACTTATACATTCGTACTGGAATCATGTGTTGAAAATAATAATGAAATTCTAAGTATTTCTGGTCTTAACAAAACAGGATTTCTAGTTTCACATCTTGTTATGCAATTATCTAATAGTCAGGCATATAATATTTATATGGACAATTATTTTGCAAGTGTGCCTCTTTTTAATTATTTATGAATAAAAGGTTATAGTGCTTGTGGCACAGTACGAACAAATTCTGCAATGTTTCCTAAAGAATTAAAAGTTGAAAAATCTATATGTTTGAATTGGGATACTTTAGCTAGAGTAGTAGTAAATAATGTTTTGGTAATTTTTTGGATGGATAATGGTCCTGTCCATATGTTCTCAACAATTCATGGTATTAAAAGTAATGAGTGGAAAGTTTTAAGTTCAAGACAACGGCCACGAGAAACAAGCTCAAATGCAAACAATGTACGAAAAGTTTTTGGTGATGAAATTCGAAAAGAAATTTTAATTCCAAAAGCTATTTATGACTATAATCATTTTATGAATGGAGTTGATATTGCTGACCAATATTGATCTTATTACAATTGTCAGCTTACTGCTTCACGTACTTGGATGCCATTACTATTTTGGCTAATAGATACAGCCATAGTAAATTCATACATTATCTATCGGAAAAATGGTAAATTATTTACCAAGCTTTAACATTAGTATTATTTTATATATTAATTAATAAGCTTTATTTCTTTTAGATAGAGTTCTTAAACATCGACAATTTAGGTTGCAACTAGCATGGGATTTTATTGACGATGCATTAAATAATGATAAAAAAATAAATAAGCAATGTTTAAATAAAAGCTCAACCTTAATTGTGGGTAAAAATTTTAAACTTCCCGTTATTCGTCTTTCTGGTGTAGATCATTATCCAGAATGGAGAATGGACCGTGTAGCATGTGTTTGGTGCAGATGGGAAGCAAAAAATAGTAGTAATAACCAAAATGTTAAAATAAATAAAAAAAAATCCGCCGCAAAGCCAGATTTGGTGTAGCAAATGTGATGTTGCGACATATCCCGTCCTTTATGCTTTAAAAAATATCATACATATATTGAAAAATAAGTCAATATTTTATATAGTATTGGTGAACAATAATAGGGGCTAATATTTGTATTTTACATTTATTATTTGTATCTTGCATTTGATAGTCGTATGTATGTACATGCGCATATATATATATATAGGTTTAAATAAAATTTTTTAAAGTTATTTCGAATATATTATATTAAATATAACTTAAAGTAAAAATTTCAATAATAATATAGGGGATCGCATATAATAAAAATAAATAAATAATTTAAAAAATAGGTCTATTTCGTTATATTTTGTATAAATTAATGAATTTTAAAGTAGTATACTTTATTTAAAGTATAATTAATTTTTAGAATTTATATTTTAAAAATTAAAATCAAGTCTAAAAGAATATATTTTATAAAAATTTTGGTAAATTTTTAAAAATTTATTTTTAAAAAATATTATATAACTTTTTGCAGACAAATTTGCCTGCACATAGTCTACAGATAAAGAGATAATGCAGAATAAGAATAGTTAGTTGACTTGTATTGAATTATTATAATGCCAAGTCATTTATATCATATATACTGCTCGTGTCAAATTGTTATGCACTGAATTATAGAACACAAAATAAATTGTAATCTCTAATAAAAAGACCATTTTTAAAACGAAATTCTGTTTTGATTTTGTTTGTTTTTTAAAACATCTTAATATTATTTCATAACAATAACAAAAGCTTATTTGTATTATTATTATGTTAGCACAAAATACTTCCATCATTTTATCAAAGATCTTTAAAAGAAATTTACATAAAAAAAGAACTACATACTATAAAAAAACTAAAATCAAAAACCCTAATTTAATCATTAGAGAGAATGATTCCATATTTAATTCTAGTACTAACCAAATCAAAAAAAGAACAAACTTACTTTATAATTCTCTAAAAGTATGTAATTATTTTCTCTGAATTATCTTTTATATTTCTCAAGAGAGTAATCACCAAATTATTATTGTCTTGTAATGAGGAGAGGAAGATCACTTAGGCTTCCTGTAGTTTAGACTACTAAGTTACCAGATAAGAAATAATTTGTATGTATCTACCTTATAATTTTAAAATATTTTTATAAAAGTACATATATTTGACGGATACGTGTTATTTCACCGACAATCATTTCACAGACAACTTAGTTCACCGACAATCAATTCACAGACAAGTTCATTTCACTGACAATTATTTCACTAACAGCTCATTTCACTGACAAGTATTTTTTATAAATTATATTAACCTTAGCTCTAATTCTAACCTGATACTAACAACAATAACCAGAATTATTTTGTTGGCGAAATGTTGTCGGTGAAATAATTGTCAGTGAAATGAACTTGTCGGTTAATTAATTGTCAGTGAACTAAGCTGTCAGTAAAGTGATTGTTGGCGAAATGCGCACCACCCGTTATATACATAGTATTTAAAATTAGATCGATTGCTAAATTTGTATATATCGTGTATAAGAAAAAAAATTCAGAAATTATATTTATTATAGGTAAATATGTTAAATTGAATCAGCTAATACAATAACACTATTGAGGAGAAATAATGAAAAAGTATTCTAAGTCAGTTGTTAACTTGCTATATAAGTTGTATAAAGCATGTAAGTTTAATACTTTTGGTTATTATACCTTCATATATATATCAATATCATTAACCAATCAAACAAATTTTTTAATTACATGATTCTGGAATTATTAAAATAACACATATTTTTGATTCTTTTGTATTCAATATTGTTCACTATTTAAATACTGGTTTTGCATTTCAAACTATAGTAATGTTAACAATGAATACTAAGATTGGATTCTGAAAAAGGAATATTAAATTGAAAGACCAAAGCAAAGAAGTATGTTTTTATTAATAATCAGACCTTTAGGTTGCTACATTGTGATGCCATATAATAGCTCTCGCTGGTTCGACTATTTGAGTTATTTGGTAAGGACTGTTCATTCTACACACACAAATGAATAGTTTAGTAGTTACTATTGTTACAGTAGGGAGGCCTTCTTGAACTCACTACTATAACAACGACACGGCTACAGGGATCCTTTACAGGTTTATAGCGGTGTCCAAGAGGGAAGTGTAATTCCTTG